TCGTAGGATGGATAGTTTCGGAAATAAAAATTGAAAAGTTAGAAGTTCACTGCAAAAATTGAATTTTAGAAGAAAGGTCTTCTAAGTTTTCAATTTTTATCTATCGTTTGATATAATGTAAATGGGACAAGAATTTATAACAACATTGGAAGAGTAACAATAAATCTCAACCTGATAGACATTACAATCTATCTACATATCCAAAATTCAGTGGCCCTAAACTACTCCTTATTATTCTTCTTCTTCTCCTCCCAACAGATTGCAAATACAAGTTATAACAATTCTGGAAGAGAATGCAATTGTCCATCGGGTTGAGACCAGGGCTACGTGTAGAAACTTTGAAAATTCGTATTTATAAATACCAGAATGACAATTAAATATTCCTACTCAAACTGGGGTATATAAATTTCTGAATTTAGAGTTGCAGGATTAATTTCTACATATTAGTTTAATATATATCATAATCATATCAAAATCATTAATATATATATATTAATCATTAATCATTAATATATATATTAATGATTTTGAATTTCCCCGACAACCTTATTTATTCCAGTAACCAGTACTACGTGGGCCCCAGCAGCGACATCAGCGAGGAGGATCTAGCCGAGCTACCATCTTGCGTTTACGCTGGAAGATCGTCTCAGCACGTCGCTCACGCATCCTCGCACACACACTCGCCTCTGCACTACCACATGCCTGTCTCCACACCTGGTAATTCAATCAAAACTCTCGATAAAACATGCAGATACCTTTTGTAGGCAATTGCATGTGCCGGATTTGCACAATCGGCACCGCTACCGACGGTCGGCAACGTTACCGATAATCGGTACCGCTTTCCGGTGACCGGTAGCGGCTACCAAGCACCAGATTGTGTGTGAATCAATATTTAAAAATAACCAAGAAAAGCTCAAAGTCAATCTTAGCTTGGACTCGTTACAGTTACTTTTATTAATAAAGTCTCTTATAAAACTTACGTTGTTTTCGCTCGACCATCCTGCACTTTGGAAAACATGGTGCAATGTTTGCAACAATTCAGAACATGTCATATTTAGGATCTTTGTACATTTCCCAATGAAACTAAACCCACCAAGAGTGTTAGGTTGATTCTCTTCCTTTCTTTAGATCACGAGACGGACATGAACGGCGTGGAGGAGGGTTATTACCCAAACGGCAGCCCTTACAGAATCCAACGACACGCTGCCAACATACGCGAGAGGAAACGCATGCTGAGGTGAGAAATTATTCGCAACGAAGACTTCCAATTTAAGTGTTCTTCTCCCAAGCCTGCAAAGTGATTTACTATTAGAATATTGGGAACGAGTGTGGCGGATTGTCAAGTTCGATTACGATTTTTAGCAGCATCAACTCGGCTTTCGACGAGCTCAGAGTTCACGTACCAACGTTCCCATACGAGAAGAGGCTGTCGAAGATCGACACCCTTCGTCTGGCGATAGCCTACATCGCTCTCCTGCGGGAAGTCCTGGCTGCGAGACTCGACCCGCTCACTTACGTCGAGAGGTGCCTTAGGGGAGAAATAAATGGCGAACGTGCCGAATGGAACACGAGTGGTTGGTACCAATTCCATTTTTCACTGATATAATGATCCTAGAAAAATCTGGGGAATTATTGGACTGGAAAGTACTTTGTGCATCCTGGTACCATGAAGACTGTATAGGGAGATCCAACTCCCTAAGAAAGTTACTAGAAAACTACTACTAGATTTTGATAACAATACACAGTTAGGACTCCTTATACAGTGTCTTCATGCCTGGTACCAATTCCATTTTCCACTGATATAATGATCCTAGAAAACCCTAGGGGATTATTGGATTTGAAAGTACTTTGTATCCTGATACCAACTCAATTTACCACTGATATAATGATCCTAGAAAAGCCTGGGGGATTATTGGATTTGAAAGTACTTTGGTATCCTGGTACCAACTCAATTTATCACTGACAAATTTTCCTAGGAGAGCCTGGGGTGTTGATAAGTACCTTGGTATCTCCACTCTTATCAACTTTTTGGTACGTGAAAGATCCCTTAGAATCTAATCAAAAACAAATCGAAAACAAATCTCACCACTTTAGATGTAGGATTCTGTAATAAAAACGAAACCAAGGCGACGGGGATTCGATCCCAGGACCTCGAGATTCACAGTCAAGTGCCTTCCACATTGGGCCAGCTTGTACTCCACCATTTCTGTTCTTATTTGCCTCCTTTAATTCCTTTATATTTAATCTTCCTTGAAATTCTCAATCTGCGAGAAAACAAAGCAAAGTATGACGAATGAGTTGAAAGAGAACGTGTAAAGTATATGTAAACAATCATTTCTCTAATATCAGTTTGCTGTATTTTGCTGTATTTTGCAGATCTAACGGCACGTTTGTCGTGGATCAACTGGGAGAACCTTGGGGTGAATCCTAATCGTCGATCGGTCCTCACCACCCTGGCCCTGACTACGGACAACATGAACTAAGAGATCACTCGCACGTGGACGAGTCTCTCCTTTTCTTTGTAAATAAATCCCAGACGAATAGACGTTACAATGTTGTTACATTTCCGTTCTAGTCATCTACGTGCAATACGAGCGATGATATTATATTTCCTATTTATATACATACGTATATATGCAATGCGGCGCGTGTACATGTAAAAGGGATAGCGATTCTAGTTTTTAGTATTTTGTTTGGAATAAAAACGAGGAGCTGCAAAGGTGTTCAGTTTCATTCAACCGATCGCTGCTGATTTTCAGCCCTTATATTGTTTACAATTTACAGGTTATAGTTACAATTAATTTTTTCAAGCTTCAAATTTAATTATATTTTACTCTGTGCCATTGGATTACCTGAAAATGCAAAAGATGTTAGCTCGAATTGCTGGCTTTAAATGTCATCGGTAAAATAAGTAATAATAATGGTAAACGAAGTCAAGTTAATTTTCAAACCTGTAGTCAGCGCCCTCGACGACAAAACGCCCAAGTTTCTAGCCAAGTAGATTCCATTACCGATGCAAGATGGCGCTCCATGATCGAGGACACGCTCGAAGGGTAACAAACGAGATTATTCACGGTTACTATGAATGAATTTATGAAAATTCATCAGTTTACACTCGCATTCGTACATGGTTGAACGAGATTCTGTTGATATTTACTAACACGTGTGTCCAAAGTTAAACAAGAGTCGACAAAATACAGAATGAAAAAATTGTTAGGTTAGTAAAAGGATTTCGTGACATAAAAAAATGACCACAGCGCTCTTCGTTGTACTTTTCTCTTTCGAATGAGCCCTCATTCAACCCAAAATAAGCTAATATAAGAAGAAAAAGCGAAAAATCGTGAAAACATACCCAAAGACGAGTTCCGCCATTTTGACGATAATGCAGAGCAAGTCACGTGACAAATTTAGTTCAGGTAACCGGCAATTAAAATGTTATCTTTCATAGCACTTTGTATGTACAGTAGACCACTAAGTTTCGTGGGTTCGTAAAACAGCTATAAGTTTCTACAATTCTCATTCTAACTAAATAAAATATCCATAAATGCCCTGTTATCGACTGTGTAGTGCGCAGTTCAAGGCACTCTCCGATTACAAGATAACGTAAAATTCTGCGTGGTCGTCGAGTCTCGAATTGTTAGATGACACCATGGTTCGATCGCAATAAACAAAAGCATGGGACTCGGCGTCTCGCGTCAGTGAGCCATGGCGAGCCAGTGTCTCGAATCACACTTCAATTGATTTCGATGTAATTCATCCATAGTTAAAGCAAAACTCGGTTCTCAGATTCGTGCGCAACTATTTCACGAATAATTTGGAAGATCCAAAGGTGCCCAAAATCGCGGTGACTTCGTGGCCATTCGTCCTTCGAGCTCCACGTGTCTCGACAAGCCGCGAGAGACAACAACTTCCACGAATGTTTAAATTGTATCCAAAGAAGGTAAATGGAGGTTTCGAGGAAAGCAGACGCGGACAAGGAGGACGACGATGTGAGTGTGATCGCAGTGATAGGGAAGGATAACGTTCAGACGCAGGATATTCGACAAATGATCGACAAAATGGCACTGAAGAAGCGTCTGGATACGGAATCGTTATCAAATAAGGTGGAAAACAAGGATCACATGGACGCTGATGTCCTGCAGAAGCTTCCTGTCGGGACAGTCGTGGCCAAACAGGAGAAAAAGTACAACGACGACAGCGATTACGTTCGAGACTCCACGGAAACCAGCAGCGGCGGTTCGACTTCCGGTGGGGCTGCGAAAGTCAGAAGAGTCCATCGAGCTGCAAGAAGGAAGTAGGTACAACGGGATAAGTCTGTAAAAGAATCGAGTTTCTGACGAAACCGACATTTTTCATTTCGTTTCTTTTATTGGACGATGTTACAACGTTAATTTAATGTTAATCATTAAACGAACTTTAATACCTTTAAGAAAATTCTCCTGATTGATAAAAATAAAATGTAAACGATCGTAGCATTCCAATCTAGGCAGCTTAATTAATTAGGGGCCAGGAAATGTCGTCGATCTTGAAATGGTCCTGCGTACATACTGTACATTTTATCTAATCAATTGAAATTGAGGAGGATTTAATAAGAATTTTCCTAGAGCCCTTTAACATTTAAATTTATCTTAATATGGTAACAAATTACGGCTGACATTTTACCACGTGTCGGTAAGTATCCATAGAGTTCCCGAAGTGTTACCATGGGTTGGTATTTGGAAGTTGCTGATGGTAACATAACTCACCGGGGCATTTAAAAAATATCTTGCTAAAAAATAAAAAGAATTAGCAATACTTCTTCCTCATTTCCACGCATATCTTCCTACAACCATACGATTATGATAAATAGAGTGCGGATGCTTATGCAAATTATACACTCTTACATATTCAAAATTTTAGATTTTTGTCTCAATTATTTCCTTAACCTCTTCAGGGATGATTTTTTTGTTACCATTAAGTTATTGTTCTTTGTATTGTCGACAGTAATTATAATTATAAAAAACTAAACGTCCACGTATGTGACCAAGAGTATGAAGAGGTTAAACATCAGTCCAGTAAATATGAACTTTTAATTTTATAACCATGGTAAAAATTTTAGGAATGATTTGAAATTTGCCAGACTTCTTACTTATAATAACAAAAAGATGTCCTGAGAATGTCAGATTTTTATTCAATTACTCCCTTACATATCAGATCAGGAAATATGAAGCTATTTGTGGCGAAGCTTCTTGGAATTTTGTCAACCAGTTTAAAATTAAGAGCTCAAATTTTGAAGGAATATTTTTGTATATATTTGCAGGATATTTAAGGGATACGTAACATAAATTTCAGAAATCATTTTATATACTTTTGCAGTTACACACATGAAAATCCGCATTCTAATAATAAAAAGCCCCTAAAAGTTGACTATTACAACGATAATATAAATTTACTAATCCTATAATAATCAAGCAAAAATTCTCATTGAAAATTTGTTTGCAGTCGAGGGACAGTGGAGATCAGAAGAAACCCCATACGGGTGACAAAGAAAAATCCGGACAAAGATTTCCCCAGGCCAAGGCAACGTTTGCTTTCCACGAAAAGAAAGGAAATGCTTTCCAATCAGAATCCTAGCAAGCGAGGTAAATCTTCCACGATGCCTTACATGAACACAAGATCCGTCACAAGGAAAATGTACAACGTAGGCGCGACTTATCAGGCACCCTCTGTAAGCGACGAGATGGAATGGAAGGAGTGGCCAGTGCATGGTATGCACGAGAGACCAGTTTTCCATCCCCAGGTGAGATTTCCGCTTACAAAGTTATTAAAGAAAGGCTACGTGGAAAGTTCGAGAGTTCTGCCTTTGTAACATTACTCAATCGCTCTTTGTTAATAGTGAAGCACATATTTCAGTTTGGCTTGGCTGCGGAGTACTTGGGTCGTTGGTTCACCAGTATCGACGACTCCTACCATGAAATAGTGGATCACTCCGACGTAGAAGTGGTGTCAGTCGACCCTCGCTGCGACTTCCTTCTCTCGTCTACTGAAAAGAAGCGGAGTAACAAAGGGAAGACGAGTCGAAGTTCCAAGACTGCGAAAACACCTTCTTCGGGACAGTATAAGAAGCACATGTCGTTCGAGACCTGTATGCACGAGAGTTTCCACTGCGTCCTGGGATACTGCTCGCAGGTGGTGACTTCTGGTTACAAAAGCAACGTGGAAGGGAAGATAATCCAGCTGAACGATGAGAAAAATGTATCCAAGAAACAGCAGGCTTTCGCTGCAAGTGTAGAACAAGTCGCAGACCTTGACACCAAACAGCCATTAATTCCATCCAGGAACAATCCACAAAAGCCGGTTGAAGAAAGCAAATCTACAGACAATTGTGCGTTTACCAGGCACTCGAGAAACTCTAAAAACTACAGTCAGACGTTGAAGACGCATTTGTATCCAGCACAGAAGGTGTACGTTGCCAATCCCCAGAAGACCGTCACCTTTGGCAACCTCAAGAGTTATCGAGAAGGACAGCTGACGGTACACAAAGCGATAGAACTTCCTAAGAAGCCTCAAAACCTCGGTTCTTTGGAAGCGAGGGATGCTCAGATGAAAACGACGCCTACAAATGCAAACGCTATACAACTGGAAGAGTCCACCGGTTACGAACCCCTAACGGATGCATCTTCGACGGAGAATTCAAAGGTAGAAGCCTCGAAACCTGCCAAGCATCCGAAGAAAGCAGAGTTCAGAGTAACCAAGTACCTCCTGGACAGCACGGAGCAGAACAAAGTTAAGATAAGCAAGGAGATGACATCTACCAGCTCGAATAAGACCTGGTGCTCCAGCGACACGTCGCAGATAGCGAAGATCCTGTCCGAGTACAACAAGAGTAGCACGAAGAAGCCAGCGATAGAAAACCAGGGGTTCTGCACCACCATGAGGAACATCAGGGACAAAGAGACCGTTAAAAAGGAGGAACAGAAGCAGATTACTCAGGAGAACTCTTCCGATCGATCCGCCAACGTGAAGTTTCCACAGGGAAAGTGGAGAAGGTTTCACTTGACGGTGGAGAAGGTGAAGAGCAATCCTGACGAGAAGAAGCTCTCGTCGGGAATGCAACATAGTCAATCATTGACGAAGGAAGATCCAAGGTATTTGGAAACGTTTCAGAGGATTCAGCCGAACGCGACGAGCCTGGAGAGGAAAGAGAACGTCTCGACGAACGAAAACGCGGTTATAGCTCCAGCAAAGACAGATTCCTTGCAGGAACTGATGGAGAACACAGCGATGTTGTACTGTGCTGCTACTGGCACGCACCAGGACGACTTAGCGATTTACATAGACAGTCTAGACGTCGCGAAGACCATGCAGTGGCTAGAGACTTGCAAACATTTATTCGTATGAGTTTATGATTCTGTACGCGTTCTTGGGTACAAAATGTTCGTGCCTTTCGAGTGCATGCATCGTTTCAAGGACATTTTTAGTTTTAGAATTACTCGAGATTGTTTTCTTACTTTTTATTTAGGCACTTGTACCTGACACGAGTAGTCGGAGGCAAAGTAAACGAGAATTGGCGATCAACCCTTTGGCCCTGCAAAGGGTTAATCGCCACGGAAGGTTTCCTTCGTTCTCGTGGTCAACACCATGCCGTCGTTGACTCCAGCGTGTATGAGGAGTATGCAAACTATGAATATCGCAGAATAGATAAATAGCAGCGCGACGATACCGAGGCTCCTTTGTCAGTCTCTGTTCTGGCGCCGTTTACGATGAGCATACCTGTGAAGAACGCGTAGTTTTAGTTAGATAATTGTACACACTCGGAGAGGAAATTTTGTAGCAGGCGAATAATTAACAATTAACCGTTGCTATTCTGAGAATGCGTTCTATCTTTGAATATATATAGAATTATTCTTCTAATCTTGTGTTTTGTCTTTGCCAGTATTAATAATTAAGTTGTCGAGCATGTTGAATAGATCCATGTTGGCATGTGTTTTGATACAGAAACTGAGACTGAATAAACATAATGAAAAGAAGGACAGAGTTTGCGTTTAATTTAAACGTCCAAAGCTCTTTCTCGATAATCTCATGATAACAACATTGATAATTGAGCGAAACTGGGGACAACTGGATATCGGTAACGACCACATAGAGCCTTATAGAGTAGATACGAAACAAATTCTTTAACTTTCCTCTTCTTTTCAGATTCCGAGTCGCTCTCTTCACTGGCCGTCTTCTCCTCCACTTCCTTCATCGAGGACTGGTCCTCGCTGTCGTCTTTGCACCTCCTGCTCTTGCCAGAGCTTTTACTGGAGTCGTCGTTCCTGGATTTCATCTTGCCACCATCAGAGGACTTCCTGTCCCCTTTCTCCTTCCTCCTGCGCTTCTCATCGTCCGAGGAAACCTTGCGTCTGGGTTCTTCCCTGCGCGACGACCTTCTGCTCTCGCTTTTCTGGGACTTGCCGCGCCTCGCAGAATTCCGTGAGCTCGACGTGGAGTACCCAGTGTCCTGGCGACTCTTCCTGTACAATTTCAACATGATGTAGAAGCGTAGAAATATATCAAGAAAGTGGAAGAATACTTCTTCCCTTAAAAAAGTACCGTTTGGAACGCCCTGAGCTCCTGGGAGAAGAGTCGAACTTGTCCATTTCCTCCGTGGACTCTTCACTGTCGGAGCAATTGGCCTCCACATCTCTGTCTCTTCTTCTCCTTCTTCTGTCCTTCGCGTCCCTGTACACGTCTCCCCTGGAGATGATGCTGATGTTCGTCATCTTGGGCTTTCGCTTCTTGTGCTTGCTTTTGTTCTCAGTTTGCACGACGTACAGGCGATACAGCTGCAAGAGTATCACCAGGGTGTTCTTGCATGTGAAGAAGATGTTCATGTAGCTGACTATGCGGTAGTGGATGATCAGGATCAGTCTGAACGCCAGAAATGGGCCATCCTGGAATATTTCATTGTGAATTAATCCTTTTGTGTCTGAAGTAAGTGTACATGCATAGCGTTATATCATATCCTTGTATTTATATCATATTCTTGTGTCTACACGTGTGCACAAAATATATCTAATCTCATTTAATTACAGGTGACGATATAGCATACAATAATATGAATATACATGGAAGACACGTGGAGATAGAGATCACAATATGAATGATAATTGGGCTGAGCAAGAATGCACCTGCAGCAGCATGTTCAACGCGATTCCCCAGACGTCTATGCTGCAGCAGCTGGTCTGGGAGTGCACCCTCTTCTTCGCGACGCCGCCTGAGGAGAGCCTGGACTTCCTGGACTTGGTGGCGGTCAGTACAACCGTGAACTGCATCAAGGACCACGCCCAGATGCCAAGAGTCAAGTACACGAGTACAGGCTCCCGCGCGATGCGGTCCTCCTTGAAGGAGTCGAAGAACTCGATGATGTCCGCGGCTGTCCCTATGTAAACCAGCAGCAACTGGCTCAACTGGTCGCGCGTCAGGTCGCCCTTCGGCAACATCCATCTTCCAATGATCAGTATCAGCATCAGGAACTGCTCGATTAGGGTCACCCACGTCTCGGTGGAGATCTGTATCTCTGGCAGGTGGATGTTCACCTGAATCAAGCGGTACTTTATACTCCTTTTAATTTAAAAAGGTTTCAGTCGTCAATGTTCAAGTTTGCACAGTTACTGAATTTGTGTGTATGTTTCACAGGTTGATAATTGTACGCACGCCAAAGGCTTTCTCCAAGTTCTTCAAGTCCTCCGCGGCCAAATTGGTCAGGTCCAAGTTCTCCGATATGTTCACGTTCGACTCGAACGCTTTCAGCCTCCTGTCGACCTTGTCCAGCTCCAACAGCCATATCGCTGGCACCACGCTGCTGAGGTACAGGAACACGGACGGACAGAACCTGAAGAAGAGTACAGATACAGAGCCAGAGTACAGATTTAAGTTATTGGTAGAAACATTGGTTGCGATTAAATTAATATTAAGCTGGTGCAGACTTCTTGTAACTGTAAAATTAATGCGAACGTTCCGCACGATGCGTTGATTCGTTGTTAGGGTATCGTTTAGGTTTCTGGCGAATCGATCGCTCGATCCGAACGAGGAAGGATATCAGAGAAGCGGGTCATTGTTACGCGCAGCCCTTTCCGGCTGATTTTCGCCCCTCTGTAGTGAATCGTGTCTCGTTCCGCTAATGCTTCAATTTCCGACTGTCAAATTGAGATGGCCTCACAAAAACACGCCCTTCCTCAGGAAAAGTAGGTTTGTCTTACCCCCTTGGCCTCCCCTTCGCGGACGGGGTTGGGTTCCTCGTTTACTTTAAGGCCGGGACAATTGAACTGCTCCAAAATTACGAGATTTCTTCTTTTTTCTTGTGTACAATATTTATTTATAATTTCAGATTGTTGTACCGCTCTATCTACCCTTGAAGAAAAGCGGGAAAAGTGCAAGCTGCGGAGACACGTGAATTAGAATTCCAGAAAAGAAGCGAATCTGATAAATATCGAGGGTAGACATCAATTTTATTACTATTCTTCTTAATTTTTCATTTGTTTCTTAGAAGGCACCCTAAGACGATTCTTACAAATGGAATTATTAGGGGAGACCTAGCTTCCGATAACTATAATTTTTAATTAAATAAATAGTACAAATTTAATTAATAAATTAATTCGTTAAGGAAGCTGTCATTTACCACTTCCACTCCTGGTTTTCCTTTATAGTGAGCGTGAAGACGCCCTCGAAGAAGAGCAACAGAATGGGGCAGCTCAGGTACCAAAAGAGAGGATTCTTCTTGAACGTCGTCACCTGCCAGATCGCTATGAAACCGTGCGACGCGAAAACCAATCTTGTAATTATCGCCTTCACGGTAGCTAAGAATTTTGCCATAGTTTCGCTCAATTTCACCGCGTAACTTTTTTTGTAGTCTTGCACGAACTTCCCAACACTCGCGCGATTAAGAAATACATCTCAGCGGGTAAGTATAATAACGAAAAAAGAACAGGTTCCACGATACTGTTCGATTAGTCGCTACATTCTTCGGGAGGTTCTGTTCCAACGATACGGAAGGTAGCGAAACTCGGTTCGCTGCATCGTGACTGAATTAAAATTATAGAAGAGTCCAGCGGGCTTGGATTTCAAATGGCGGAGCGCACGCGCCATCCCTGTAATTATCCATTCCCTAACACGCATGCGTCAGAAGAACAATTATAAACATGTATGTCTGCGGTTTCGAGGGAAATTACTTTCATTTTCAGAGATTATCGACGGTATTTCAATGATAAAAGATCTCTGAATGATCTATGCGCATGAAGCAATTAGTAGCCTGCTATGCTGAACCTCTTACTTGCAATAGAAATATTGGTAGCACTTTTGAAACACGTGTATGTGTTCTTGCTTTATCATTTCCAAATTTCAGGAACGACTTAGAAATATAACGTTAATATAAGGTATATTACAAACTCAAGTAGCATTCTATTTACAAATCATTAAGTATCTGAATTTGTCAGTGAATTTTCTCTTACCTGGGACACTAAAGAGTTATTTAACACATTGAGCACAGGAGATATCTCGTCTTTAGTGACCCAAACGTTGAGACCCGGAGCAAAATATGTGCCCTGAACGCAATGTGTTAATTGTGGTTGTGATAAATTTGATCGAAGAGTCTGAAAAATGTAGCGAGTTCGACGTGATGTAAACGAGTTGCTAAGTGTAACGTGATGAATCGACGCGACATCGACGACTGAGCAGGCGAAAATAAACGGCCCGAGCACGTCTAGAAAAGTCTTACTTATTTTATTACATTGGTTACCTTCGATACATGAATCATACCAATTTATGTAGTCACTCAGTCATGTAGCACACATCCCAATCACTCTATTCTTTTTTTTGTTTATTCTTTCAATTGGAACGAGCTTTTTTTTTTTTAATACGCGTACACTGTACGGAAATTGAAATAATATATAATATATATATATTTATATATAATATAGCATCGTTTAAATTACATCTCAATTACTTTTTAATTGTATATAAAAACACTTGACAAACAAAAACGGAACAACTTAGAGTCTTTTGTGGAGCTGTGCCATGGTGGGGACACTGGGGCAAGATTACTTGCGTAATACATATACATTATATATATACACGCAATTTATATTGTAATGTGTATATATATACACAATTTATAACGTAATGTGTATATAACATGTATATGTATCTTCGGCAGCATAACGAGCACTTTGATTCGACACTCGATTAATCGATGATGTTTCTCGCGAAGTTTCGTAGAACACGAACGAAAAATCGAAGACTAGGGTGAAATATTTAGGCTGCGAAGACGAGGCCATGGCTCGAAGAAAATAAAGAGAACCTTTGGAACTCGCTGTTTAAAAATTTCCCACGAGTCAGAATTCGATAATGAAATGTTTACGTTTACGACAATGTTCTTTCTTTTTATTTTTCATGTGATCTTGCTTTCGAAAGTGGTGCGTGTCGCGGCCACACAGCTCCTGGAATACAGTCTGTGTTCGTGTCGATCGAGACACGTCTATTTACAATTCGTCATGCTCCTGAAAACAAACCAGAAACGATCGTTCAACGACAATTCATCTAAAAAGAAAATCACCCCTCATCGTCGATACGTACCTCAGTATCTGGGACATTGTTCTCCTCATCATCAGCATCCTCGTCTTCGTCATCGTCCTTGTTATCCTCGTTCGCCTTGTTCTCCTTTTCTCGCTGCTTTCTTTCCTCCTCGTCTTGAGCCTCTTTCATCTTCTTCTCGCCTTCCTAAAATACAAAAATCCTTTAATCTACCCACTGCTTCGTATTAAAAAGCTTACAGTTCTAATCGTGCGATCAGCAACGAGGAATTCCAGCTTTTGTATCGCTCATCAGCATCAGCAACGCTTTTAACATCATTTACTGCGATTATCGTTGGCGAATCAATAGTGAATGTATTATCGTTAGGCGTGTGCAAGCCCGACTCGAGTATCGGACCCCGACTCGTATCGATCAAGCCCGAAAAAGTCGAGCGGCTCGCACATTCCAAATTATCATGCTTACGAGAGTGGGCTTCCAAATTTCTTCGCCGAATTTCTGGGCAACTTCTGGGTCGTCCGTGATGAGGACGTTGTCGAAAATCGTTCCGGACTTAACCTGCCAGAGGTCGAAGCCAACAGCACAAATCTCGTCCCTCATGTAGAGTTCAGGGTCAGGAGTGTACTCGGGGTTATCGATTTCTGGGTGGATCCAGGGTCCCTTGTAGCTGGGGTTGGCGACTTGTTTTGGTTTCCATTCGCCCTGGTAAAAAAACAGAATCGATTAGAAACATCGAATCAACGATACGAATGATTCTCTAATTTGATGCAACTAACCTTGTACTCAGGATTGTCGATCATGGGGGCTTCCCACTCTCCGTCCATTTCATCGTCCCAGTCGTCTGGTTTGGATGCCTCAGGGTCAGGAATGTGCTCTGGCTTGTCCCAATCCTCTGGTTTCTGATCGTCTGGGTCAGGAATGGTGGGTTTGTCGTCCCAATCATCTGGTTTGCTCTGAGACGGATCCTTGATCTTCTTCGGGGGCAAGAAGTCCCAGTCCGCCTCCAGCTCACCAGTCTCGACCTCCTCGTTGTCGATGAGGACCTGAGAAGTTTGTGATTTAATTAAAATCTAGCTATAGGAAATCTATCTAATATTTTAACATCCTCGTATTTAATTTAAAGCTTTGTTGTTCTTTGCTTATTTCGTAAAAAAACAGTGAAATTTGACTACATTCGGTAAGCAAGATAATCTTCGCTCTTCGAGATCCTCTAGCACTTATTCTCCACAGAGATCAAGGAGAATATGTGACTCTAGGCTCGAGATGTAGATGCATTATAGCGTTTTCAGTTCTTACAGCGTATGTGTTGTCGGGACGAACGATCAATGTGTACAGGTGAGTGTAGATGTCGTCTTTGCAACGGATGTCTTTGTTGATCAAGAGATTCTTGCCGTTGTAGCTGAAGATTACGTGAACCTTCTTTGTTCCAGGCCCACAAATATCAGGTCCTGCGGAGAAACGTATATTCAAGCATAAAAATCGAAGAGGTCATTCCTCTTGGAACTATGCCAGAGGAAACGCAAGATTTTGCGTTTCAGCAAAGTGACTCTAGTAGTTCTAGCGCTACAGAATAATTACAATTTACGCTGCTAATACTTTTCCATTGCATAGAAGTATTCGATAAACAGCATACTAATTACGAATTAGAATCTCAGACTCTACTAAAGCTTCCTGCTGCGATTATGAATTATAATTATCACAAAGCAAGCAGTTAATTTAACGTTAGAGTAGCAAAGAAATGAATGTATCTTAACTGGTGCCTGAAATATGTATGAGAACTATATTCAGGGCATAAGCAAGAAGTTACTCTCCGAGTTCCATCAGCACCAATTCACCACCGGGTGAAACCAGTGACTCTAGGCTCGGCTTATTTTAAAAAAAGAAATCATAAGGTACATTGAGTGCATCTCAGAGCATCCAAGAATCCTTACCAAACATGATCTCGTACGGAGTTTCTCCGTGCATGTCCTTCTGATCCAACGAACAGTCGAACACTTTCAGGTATCCACCGCCGCAGTCGATGTTCTGTTCGTGCTTGACGGTGAACTGAACGACGAGAGGCTTGTCCTTGTTGCTGAAGGGCTTGAATTTTCTGCTCAGAGCGTAGAATCTCGCGTCCTGAGAAGTCTGAATACCTGTTAAAACGTGAATAGATGTTTAAGAGAGATGTGTATCGGGTGGTTTAGAGAGATAAATTATGGGAAATTAGTTTCTCACCTTTATCATTTTCTGGATCGTTCCAGAATTTTCCATGGCTCAGCACAAACTTTCCAAATTCTTTCCCGGGGTGCTCTGAGTACACCCAATTCTTCTCCCAGGAATCTGCAATGGTATAGATAGATAAGTGTATGAGTTTAAGTAAGTTTAAGTTATTTTGGGATAGATGGAGTTTTATTGTAGTAGAAAATTTGTATTCTTGGTACAGGTTTGTTGCTTGGTGTTTAAGTTGTATTTTTTCCAAGTTACATTGTTTAGTACGCCATGATTCCTGTTTGTGCATTCTGGGATGAAATAGATCTGAGTTCAAAGTACAGGGTGATCCACTCGCTAGTAGACCCAAAAAAAAGTTCCGCCACAATATAATGAAGTAGCAGAGGTCCTAGTACAAGGACCTCTGCTGCTGACCCCTGCTTCCTTTGGATCTAACGAGTGGATCACCCTGTACTATAAAGAATGAGTTTGTCAAGAGCATTACGCTTCTCTATTCCACTTAGTTTATAAATTCATTATGAATATATTCATTATGATATTACCATACTTTAAATGAACGTAACATCTAAACTAAACACGCTAGAGAATATTGGTTAGCAATATTGTTTTTCAATTAAATAATACTAAACAATCAGGAATCTAGCGATTACCTTCAACGACGAATTACGAGGCCTAGGTTCTCATATAATATCGGTGCATTAAAATGTCGCCTGATGCAGCATGCTAGCGTGATTGGCGCCAGAGGTTTGAGAAACACTGGCGTATACCGAAATATCGAGTGACCAAATGCGCGAGGACCGCGACTCGTCGTTCGCGTAGTTTTCTACGTGTTTACGAGCCCGAGCACGAGGAGAGGTTTATTTCCAAACGCGAAGCGTTCAACGCCGATCGAACCGATCGATCGGGCGTCATGTCGGCGAAACGCGCACGGAGGAACGTCCGCAGCCGTGCCACGAGTTCCCCCTTCGCCACGTCCCTGGGAATTTCCACTTTCCGCGGTCGCATATGGGACAGTAAACAATTCCGAGAACTGGGAGCGTTATTAAGGACCCAACCGCGATCACGCGCGGCGAGGATACGAAATTCCAAAAGACGAGGTTCGCAAGGGCGTGTGGGTTACCAAGGAGAAACATGTACGCGATGGTTTGGGTTTGTCTCTGTGGAGATATCAGGGAGTCTTGCTCGAGGATGTATGATAAATTTCGAAGCTATTTAATAGGGAATTGAAAGAGAATAACTGGGTGTGGTTAATAACGATGGGTGTTTGAGGGATTTATGCGGAGTTGGGACTCATGGTATGGAGGACGAGGAGAGGATGGAATGGAGTAGCTCGAGGATGTTAAGAAACGTTTCGCTCACCATCAAGGAACTTCTCATCGAAGTAGACGTCGGCGGTGACGAGGGTGACCGCCAGTAGAAGTAGAAACGAGCAGAAAGAGCGCATTTTGGACGCCGGGGACGACGAGAGTCCTGTCGACGGGATTCTTGACGCTGTGACGAACTAGCCGATAATGCCTGAAACGCAGACGTGGTTGGCGAGTTAGCAGCCGCCGGGCAGACAGATGGAGGGCAGTGATTGGAGGAGAGTCATGGTCCAATCGGCGTCGACCACGCTCGACCAATAGCTCGCCGCGCCGTGGCAGGGTTATAGTCGTGCAACATAACCTCGTATTGACGATTCCGTACCTTCTTTTATCTGTCGACAATATGGCGGCGGATAACAGCTTGAAGGAGGGCTCCTATTGGCTGGCTGGTCGAACGCTTAGGCGCCATGTTTAAATGATCGCGACAGTAACGCCATCGGTGGGAAAATTCCCAAGCTTGTTGAGAAAATAGTTACTATTCCATTAACTAGATGGCGTGACTACTGATTTTTAATAAATTATTTATTATTTATCATAGAGGCGTATGGTTCTTTGGTTTATAACGGTACAATATGGTAGTTTATATGTAATATTTATCATTTCGATGAATGAATATTAAATTTAGCAAAAATCAACCCTTCGTTATGTGGTATCATCTCTAGATGGCGCCACAGCTGCCTTTCCTATAGCACTGAAGACTATATTTTCAAGAATTAATTAACACACGTATTATTTAACCAGAGAGCAATTTTTAATGAACAAAACCAATCAGTAATTCAAAAAGACAAACGGAACAGAAGACGGTGAAAGAAATTCTCTTCTGCATCGATAAAGAAGAATTTTTTACTAGTGGCGTTATCTAGCGGTGACAGTGGGAACTATTTTCACTACAAGCTTGGACGTTTTGCCACCGATAGCGCCACTTATAATTATTAATTATTTTTTTTTCCATAGACACATAACTAACACACGTTTTTGTTTTATGAGCCTTACAACAAATCGTTTCGATATATTATTTATATATAAATTTGGTTTTGCACGTGTATCCAGCTTAGCCGAGACCTAACCCTTTTAATTAATTAATGAATTTAATTAAACAATGGGAACCCATGAAGGGACCTGAAAAATAGAGTCAAAGTTTCTATTTAATTCTGAACCTTTGATTACACAATAATTAAGATAATTATAAACAAGTGTAACCCACTACAGGAACTGAGAAATGAAGACAAAATTATTTTTCCTTTTTAAGTTTTGATTATGAGAATAGGGAAGCATAAGTATGCCCATGGAGACGAAGGCCTCAGAACTTGAGAGCTTGGAGTTTAGCAGTTTTATGAACGTCTCCTATCCTCTCGGATAATTTCTTTCCAGCGAATTGGTGATCCTGATAGCGCATCTCGTACAGAGTGACCAAGCCCAGCTTCTCAGCGATTCGTTGACTGTAATTAGAGGCGAACACGCCAAATATCACCTCTGGAACCACCTGGCCGTCGAGGGTCGCACCCTCAATCGAAATCCTTGTCCTTGTACCATTCAGAAGCCCTCTACCGAACTCGATGCACTTCTCCATCATCTGGCTGCCAATTCCGCGGCCTTGGTACCGTGGATTGGTGCCCAGATAAAAAAGCTCCATTGCTCCCTTCACGTGGTACTTATCGAAAATGTCCACGCTGGTTTCAATCTGTAATTAAAACAAGAAGCTTAGAATTAGAATATTTTATTGAAGCAGTAGTGTTTTCTGTATGCAACAATCATTTGAAGTAATATTTAGGAGTAATGATGTAAACAATAATCTATTTGTTTGGACAGTTCGTTTCTCATTATAGTCTCTAAATCCCCTAATGTTCCAAACCTCTTCAAACACAGAGCACTTACAACAAATACAGTATAACAATGTTTACAAAAAAATATTTAATATATCTGTTGAAGTAGTGATATCTAAAACTAAGAATGTAAAACATAATCTATTTATAATGACAAACAATTTGTTCAAACAGTCTCCAAACTTCCAAACCTCTTCAAACATGGAGCAGCCATAGCAAATATAGTGCGACAATGATTATAAAAGTAATTACATAGAAAATAATCTATTTATAATAAGTAGCAAATAATCCAAACCAAACTACCCAAATCTTCAAACCTTCAAAC